CAAGTGCCGGCAAACCCCGTCACCTCTGCTCGGTGGGGCCGGTGCTGCCGTGGTGAGCAGGAGATGCTGACCCTGGCCTGGCTGCTCCCAAAGCTGGTCCTTTAGTCTCGGCTCCCCCCGACTCCCGTGGCTGGGAGATGCCTGTTTCTCAGTGAAACGGGCACTTTTCACCCCAAACACGGCCCCGCAGCCTACCTGCGATGCCACGACTGACCCGTGCTCATGTCTTCCCCCGTTTGTCTCAGTCTCCAGAGCAACTCCATCAGCAGCGCTGGGGTGGCCGCGCTGACAGCAGCTCTCTGCTCCAACAAGGGACTCATCAACCTCAAGTAAGTGACAGTGCCTCCGGCCACCCTGGCCAAAAGCTGCTGCCGGGACATGGGATGCGAGAACTTTTCCTTGTGCCTGGTTGTTTCCACAAATGGTCTGGGGTGCTGAAAGCAGCCTCTGTCCCTCCTCTGGCTGCGACCATCTTCTCTCCATCTTAGCTTTCTCCCCTTGGGACAGTATCGGTTCAGCCGTGTCTGGCAATGAAACGATGGCAGCAGGGATGGGAGGCTGGGAAAAATGGCACCCCAATGGCATCGGTGCTCACAGCTGTAGGATGCACCCGGAATGGAGATGCAGGGGATGGAGATGCAGATGCTGATGGGGATGCAGGGAATGGAGATGCAGATGCCGATGGGGATGCAAGTCAGACAGACCGCCTGTTGCAACAGAAGGTCTCAGCCCCAGAGCGGGGGGCGAGGGGGGCTGTGGGGGAGCAGCCCATGCCCTGCCTCGGCCGCTCCTCCCCAGCCCCGTGTCTTTCCCCAGCCTGCGGGAGAACTCCATCAGCAAGGAGGGGGGCCCCGCCATCGCCCATGCCCTGCGGACCAACAGCACCCTGAGGAAGCTGGAGTAAGTCCCATGGGCCCCAGGAGGGCACCCACGCTGCTGCACGGTGTCGCTGGAGTTGTCCCAAACTCTGTGCGCGTGACTTGCGTCCTCTGTCCCCTGCCTCTAGCTTAGCGGCGAACCTGCTGTACGACGACGGCGGCAAGGCCATTGCTTTGGCGATGAAAGAGAACCGGGCGCTCACGTCCCTCCAGTGAGTTTCCCCTTGGACCCGGACGGTTTTGAAGCCCCTTTCGTGGACGCGGGGCAGGGACCCTGCTCCCGGGCCTCAGCCCCTCCAGGCCATGGGAGGTGTGCTGTGCCATCCCCGATGGACCCTGATGGGTCACCTCCCAGCCCCCACCACGCTGGATGGGAGCGGATGGGTGCTGAGCCTGCAGGGATCGGGGCGTCCTCGCAGCCCCGGACTTCACCTCCCGGTCTCTCCCGTTCGCAGCTTGCAGTGGAACTTCATCCAGGCAAAAGCTGCCGCGGCCCTGGCACAAGCACTACGGTCCAACAGCAGCCTGGCCAGCCTCGAGTAAGTGGGGACACGGGTGGGCAGGTCTTGGGCAGCGTCTTCCTACTGGGACCTGCCCAAGGACTCTGCTGCTCCAGGGGAGGTGGCTTTGCCTGCTGTCTCCTCCACGCGCTCCAGTCCATCCTGTGTCCCCATCGCATGTCCCTGGCTGGGGATGCTGCAAGCGCATGGTGGCCCAGGGGCCACCCCAAGCCATTTGGGAAAGCCCGGCACACTGTGCCCTGTGCTCACTGCCCATCTCCCGGCTCCTGGGTGTCTAGGCCGTGAGCAGACGCAGCACTTGCATGTCTTAGCTTGCAGGAGAACGCCATCGGAGACGAGGGAATGGCCGCCCTCTCCGCTGCACTGAAGGTCAACACAACCCTGGCAGATCTCCAGTGAGTATCCAGGCTGTGGCGGGACCCTGGCATTGCAGCCTGTCTAATTAGCTTCTCTAATTAGCACACCACGGCCACCTCACGAACATGCGCTGAAGGGTCCTTCTCTCTTGCAGCCTGCAGGTGGCTTCAGTTGGCGCAGCTGGTGCTCAAGCCCTGGCAGAAGCCTTGATGGTCAACAAGAGCCTGCAGATCCTGGAGTAAGTGCTCGGTGGGGCCACCAAGTCCCCATGGCTGCGACACCGCTCCCTGGGGGTGTCCGAGACCCTGGTCCTTAGCTCAGCACCGCTTCCACCCTTGCATCGTGTCCTACCAGGCTTGGCTTGCCTGTCCCTTGACTCGCTGGTGTGGGGCCACCTCTCCCACCTCCTCCTCTCGCCCATGGAGAGCACAGGGCTGTCCCGGGCTGTCCTCCCTCACCGCCTGCATTCCTCTGCAGCTTGCGGGGAAACTCCATTGGCGTGGCAGGAGCCAAGGCGATGGCCAACGCGCTGAAGGTGAACCGCAGCCTCCGCTGGCTTAAGTAAGTACCCCGCTCCCCGGGGCGGGAACCAAAAAGAGCCTTTCCAGACCTTCCTGGAGGAAGCAGCGAGGGGACAGCCAGGCCAGCAGCTCTCAGTGGGGCAAACCCCTGAGCTGATGGCTTTTCCCAACGCCCACGCACATGGCATGCATTCCCTCCTGGTGGCCACATCTCCCTGGCTGGTGCTTTCTGACCCTCCCGCCTCCCGCAGCCTGCAGGAAAACTCCCTGGGCATGGACGGAGCCATCTGCATCGCCACCGCTCTGAAGGGCAATCACGGCCTCACCTATGTGAAGTAAGTGGCTGCTGAGCTGGACGGTAAGGCAGGGACGGGGGAAACCACGGGAACCATCAAGGGACCTTCCCCAGCACTGGCACTGTCCTACAGGGACCTTCCCAGTGGGGCAGGGGGCAAGGGCACCCTGTGCTCCTCCCGGCGTGACGGCCACCATCCCCACACAGCTCCAGACCCCACAGCTCCTCTCTGGGGCAAAGAACCACCCCAAAAGTAAAATACTCTCCAAAATCATAGAATCGTAGAATCATTAAGGTTGGAAAAGACCTCTAAGATCATCAAGTCCAACTGTTAACCCAACACCACCATGCCCACTAAACCATGTCCCTAAGCGCCTCATCTACACGTCTTTTAAATACTTCCAGGGATGGTGACTCCACCACCTCCCTGGGCAGCCTGTTCCAAGGCCTGACCACTCTGTCAGTAAAGAAGTTTTTCCTAATGTGCAGTCTAAACCTCCCTTGGCGCAACTTGAGGCCATTTCCTCTCGTCCTATCACTGTTACTTGGCAGAAGAGACCGACCCCCACCTCGCTACAACCTCCTTTCAGGTAGTTGTAGAGCGCGATGAGGTCTCCCCTCAGCCTCCTCTTCTCCAGGCTAAACAGCCCCAGTTCCCTCAGCCGCTCCTCACCAGACTTGTGCTCCAGACCCTGTATCACAGGGACGGGCTGGCGCAGCCCCTCCAGTCCCCAGGGGCTTTCTCCAGCTTCTCACCTGGCTGCCTCTGGGGTCTCAAAACCAGAGTCCCCAGTGACCGCGGTCCCAGCAAGAGCTCCTGGATGGTGGAGGGAGGGTGCAGATGATGCTGGTGCAAAGCTGGGGTGCATCTCTCGTACCCACCAAGGATCCCGCTCTGCCTCGTGTCCAAGCCTGAACTCCTCTTCTCTTTGCTCCCAGCCTGCAGGGGAACCGCATCGGCCAGTCAGGAGCCAAGATGATCTCCGACGCTATCCGGACAAACTCCCCCGACTGCATCGTGGACGTGTGAGGGTGCCTGGCCGCAGCAAGGAGGTGGCCTGGTGGGTCCCTTCGGCCAGCGTGCCTCCACAGGGAGCTGCTCGGCCCTCCACCCGCCCGTCTCAGGGAGGAGAGCTGAGGCAAGGAGAGCTCCTGAGCTCCCCGGCACAGCCCAGGAGGACCTGGGGCCTCCGGATCAGCAGTGCAGGAGGGTCAAGACTCGCTAGTGTTGAAAGCTGAGGAATGTGCGACCATCTCCCTGTTCATCCAGGCCCCGGGGGAGCTTCAAGGAATGGGTGAAACGCAAACAGGAGGGAGGAGGGGGCAGATCCCACATGCCAGCCCTTCTTGTTTTTGTGGGGGACTTACCTGCCACCGCCGGCGGCAGCGACCCCCTCCTGTGATCTCCATGGGGTTACAGCGCTGTGCGATGACCGTGCCCCAGACCGGGCGCATCCTGACCGCCCCAGAGCTCTGCTCTTGTCCCAGCCCGAGTCCCTGCGGAAAAACGTTGCAACACCCCAGCCGGGGCTCCAGGGCTCTGCTCCCAGCGCCAGCTCTAGTTCTGGCAGGGATCCTGGGAGAAGCGGGTGAAACAGGGGCAGGATTCACAGCAGACCCTTATCCCCTGGCTAAATACAGCCCAGTCCCGCACGCTCCCGCTGACAAGAGAGGTTTGCCGTCTCCTTGCTCAGATGAGAGCAGTGCTTTGGACCTGGGCACTTCAGAGCAGGGTCCTAGGCAGCGCGTGGACCTGTGTGTTTGCCATGCCCTCAATAACAGGTGGGTGCTGGCCGAGCACGACTGAAGCGTTTGTTAGTGCTGTTCTCTATCAAAGCCTCTCGGAAGAGTCAGCATCCCAAGGCATAGGAGTGGAACCATCTAGAAAGACCTTGGGAAATAAAGAGCCCTCAGGATAACGGGAGGAGGATTGGGAGGGTGAACGTAAGCAGAATAGCACTGCACAAGGATGGGCCTTGCACAAGCACGGGTCTCGGTGCTACACTGGGACTGCCTTATCACTAAGTCCTGCCTCTCGAGTTTAGGCCAGACTTCTTGGGTCTCCTGCTGGTGTCATCGGTGACAAGCTGTGTGACCTTGGGATGTGTCTTCCCGACATCCCAGCTGCAGGCAGGGTCCTCCCCTAGGTCACCTTTTGGGCAGGCGGCTGCTGAAAGCAGAGGTGCCAGGTGATGCCCTTGTGTGCGTGGCAGAGACCCAGTGACTCTCCGGAAGGTGCCAGGTTTGCAGGTGGATCAGTAGCCAAAGTATGCAACCCCCTCCCCCCCCAGCCCCCTTCCAGCCACTGACCCCTCTCCCCACTCCACCCCAGCCAGAGCCACCCTGAGCCAGGGACCTCTGTGGGCTGATGCTGGAGAAATGCCGGGCTGAGCTGGGTGATATGTACACACTTGGAAATAAATTGGTTCCTAGCTGAGAAGACGCCTTGTGCTGGCTTCCTCTCTTGGCTGTGGATCATTACACGTGACGTTCGGGGTGCACTGTGCTCCGCTGCCCCGGCTGGAGACCCCACACCCTGTACCGGTGTGACAAGAGGGCTCATGGCTTTTCCATGAGGTGTCAGGGGCTGGCGCTCGCTCTCCAACAGGATACAGTGACGCGGAGTGATTTAAGTCACCGTTATTTCTGGGCAGACTGAGGCTCGGGTCCAGCTCTGCCCAAAGCCTGTGCCTAGCCCTGAGCTGAAATGTTACCTGAAGCACCGACGGAGAGAGCGATCAACAACCCCAAGACAGCTCCCGTGCCCCAGAGCTCCAGGAAACAGGGGGTTAACAACAATTTGAAATATATTGAATCAATCTGTCCGCATATGCACATACCTAGCTATACACAAACACTCCTGAGGTGAAGGCGTCAAGCGCTCAGAGGGTGCATTTCCACTGGCACCGGGGTTGGCTGCTATCGGCGCTGCTGTTCAAGCCTGGCACAAGAAGCTGCAATGCAAACAAAGCATGGCTACCCCAAAACCTGGCTGGCTGCACTGAAAAGCTAGGTGGCAGTGCTGCCTGAAGAGGCTCTGGTTCTGTGCACACAAGGTATTAAGTCAGCTTTCCATTTCTGCCTACAATATAGGAAATAACATAGAAAACCGTAACTCTGAAGCTGCAACCCAGACTTGGAGACTGGGCCCAATCTCGTGGGAAATCTCTCACGGGTGAGCTATATCTCAGCACACAGGGAGGACCAGAACAGATTCCCTGCGTAACATGGGAAAATGTTTTCAGAACAGGTCCTAAAATCAGAATGTTCTCATCCCTTGGGAGAGGGATGCGGTGAGCACACGCTTTCTCACTGGCTGTCACAGGACCACCCTGTGGCTTTGCAGCAAGAGCCTAGCACTGAGAACACCATATCCTGTGTCTGCCTTTGAAGTGAGGTGCAAAATGCCAATAAACTTTGCAGGGTGCAAAGAGGTGTCCTAACTGTCAGCCAGTTCAGCTCAAGCCTGTTCGATTGCGTGCATTTCAGCACATCACTGCTCCCACATATGTCCTGTTACTACACAAAAACTGCACTGTATTTACCTGTAAACTTTTCTTCCACCTTGACGTGACCTTTCAAGCTCTGCTGATGGGGAACTGCCTTGGGTGTGAAGGTTCTCTTGGGGCCAGGACACGGAGAGTTGAAAAAGCTCTTGGTTTTTCAAGTAACTCATGTGTATTCCTTCCTTCAGCACAATAATGGAGGGGTTGGACCTGACTCTAGACTTCAGATGGGGGGGAAAGCAAAGTACTTTGCTGATGTAAAAAAAGGGAAGGGCAGGAAAACAGCCTGGGCTCTTGTCTGCCCTGATGAACACACACCAAATGAACTCTTCTAATCAAGCACTGATTTCTGCTCCTGTGAAGACAAATTGTGATGCTAAAGCAAAGCTAAAAGAAAAGAGGCGACACACTAGACAAACTCCAGCTTTCAGCTTTTGTGTTCACCTGAATACACTTCCAACAGATGGCATCAGTATAACTTGCTGAACAAAAGCTTTTGGCCCATTTGAGTGCCTAAATCTCAGTCCGCCCCAGAAGCACCAGTATAATTAAAGGACTAATTTCATACAGATTTAGTTACAGCGCTGTCTCGCACAGCTGCTCTCAGAACACTGAGGCACAGCCCACTGAAATCTGAGGACAACTCCCACTGACACAGCTGAAATACTAAGAGATGCTGCACTGAAGGTGGTATCTGAAGACCCCTTCACTAGTTTCCCACTCCTTTAGTGCAACTGGTGCTGCTTTTTGTGGAGGCAAGCCCTTGATTAAGTAAAGGATATATTTAGGACAAATAGATTTAAGCCAGATTTAAAATCAATTTAAGTGTGTTCCCAGGGCAGCTTTTCATCCAGTTTTATTAAGCCAAAAAAATCCAGTTGGACATAATAAAATGCAGGGAATCAAGCACACGATGCTCACTGAGTGCGACTTTTGGCACTGCAGTGCATGAAGGCCAGTTCTAATGCAATTATGGAAATAACCGCACTCCACATTACTGTGATTCTCATTACGGATAAACTGCTCATGCTTTGAGAGTCACAAGACTGGCAATCCAAGTTTAATTTTCAAGTTTAATGAACATTATTTACTGACTCCTGAATTCATGCTGACAAGTGCTTTTCAAATGGCAGGATATTAGCTCCTGGCCTGCATACTCTCCGGGAGCATGTTTATATTTCAGATGCCTCCTGATCCTGCTACTAAAGGGTCAGAAGTCATTATCACTTTCCTCTAGTGGCTCTGGCTTCCTTGCTCGGTGTCTGGATTTGCTCGGGGAGATTTCCATGCTGTCGTCTTCCATATCATCCTCCTCCTCATCCTCTTCTTCATCCAGGTCAATCTCACTATCCCCCGAGTCCTCCTGCAGGAAAGCAAACAGAATTCATGACCAGTTCAGTTCTCAGATGGCAAGGCATCTTTGCCAGCTCAAAAGTAAAGGACAGCACTGCTGGCTGACGATAAGTCGTTCCTCCCCTGCACTCTGTGCAATCACAGACCTGGGGGTATGGGGAAGGCTGTCTGTCTGGACTGGTATGCATCCAGATTTGGACCTCTTGCAGATTCTGCAACAGGTTTCGTTCCAGCTCAGGCTGCTGTGCTGCTGGCCTTCCACGATCATGAAAAGCCAGAGCTCGCTGCCTCTGGGAGCTAATGGCCCACATGGCTTTTGCCAGCAGCTCCCCACTTTGCTAGACACTGGCTGCTCCATTCAATTTATTGCAAACCTTCTTCCCCACTTCACGGGGCTGATAAAAACGAACTCCTTGACTTCTGCTGAATCTGTGGTATTAAAAACCTTGCAGGATGTTTAACTTTAAAGTGATACCTATTGCAAGACCAAAGAATCAAGGTGTAGTGGAAGAAAATTAACTGCAGGAGAGAAACCCACCTGTGCCTTGGTGATGATCTTGCGTGTGCCTGGCCGTGCTGGGGCAGATCTCCCCTTGGAGAACCAGAGTGGAAAGAACAGGAGAGGCAGAGCAGGGAAAAAAAAAGTACAAGAACATAAAAGAAAACAGAAAATAACCAGAATGGGAGCAGGGGAGAAGGCAGCAAAGCCAGGTACAGCTCAGGCATCATGTGCCACACCAGCAAGTGACACGAGGCTGGCCATACAGCTGCTGGCTTTTGGGCAGGCTGAAGCCTGCTCTCTTCTCAAGTCCATAACCCAATTAACGCTTTGAGGGGTTCAAACCAGCCTCACTAGTTTCCTTCCCTGATCTCAGACACTTAGATGCCTGCAAGGATCCCGAAGCAAGCCTCTCAGCTCTGGTGCCTGCTGAGATGCTGTATTAAGAGGGCAGAGCCATAAGACAACCAAAGTGGCTGCAGCTGAGGACAATAAGAAGCTGAAGGCCTTGGCTTTCCACACCAGGATGTGCTGGGGCTGTGCCAACAGGGAGACATGGGAGAAAGCTGTGAACAGGGAAGTCCAAAGGAAGGAGAAACTGCAGAGAATGACTATCCAAGTCATTGGCAAGAACATGGTCAAGGACAATCAGGCAGCACCGTGACTAAGGTC